CCCGTACTGAGCTTTGAAGATGGTTAGTATGATTACTGGTCCCGTTTTCTTTTCAAGTTTATCTGATGATAACAAACAAAAATGTTTAGAAACTTTTACTGAATCGTTTCTGTTGCTTGCCATTTAATTTAGTTTTCTGACAATTTTTGAGAAAATTTAAAATTTGACTGCATTCTACTCTTGCAAAGCTTGTTACTCGAAATAGTTGTTCGTTAGGTAAATGCAGTAAACGACTACTTTTCTGTATTGATGCTTAGAGAAACTCGCTATGATTGCAGTTTTAATCTTCGGAGATGGGGATAGATAGAAAGGAAACTCGTTGGTTTCCAATGAAATACGGCAAAATAGGCATTAAAATGAAACAAGACTTTACTTCACCTGGTTCCTGGTTTAGACTATGTAGGTGGTTCTGTGTTTGAGACGCATATGAATGAAATCAACATACTGTACTGACTTTGGCGCCGGTGGTGTTGTGGTAGCCCGAGCAAAGTCGGTTAACAAAATGAACGTATATCGATTTTAACCTTTCGTTACTCGCGCAAACTTCTGTAACACAAGTTCTCACGCGTTGTACTTTGTACAACGGTGTGAGTTTTCCATTGCCATTTTGCTGCCGAGCTAATAATCTATCTGGAACTAACGGGTATTCCTTAAAAACCTTGTTTTGAACTAAACAAGCTTATTTTTTTTTATTACAGTCAACCCCAGAAAAATACGGATAATAGGATAAATGTAAATGGACACCACATTAACGGTGCCCATACTACGTGGGATTTGACTTAATTGGTTACAACATGGAATATCTCAAGTTTTCCATGTTTTCCGGTCACTTTGCCGATATGTAGGATTTACGTAGTAACGGAAAACATACCGATCCAATATTAATAAGGAAAAAGGTGTTATGCTGTGAATAAGAATTTAGGTCTCCATGTATGTCACGTGAAACAAAGTTTTCGAACAAAAAATTAAGTATTGCTGCTTGATGCTTGGTTTGTTGATGTGGGTCTTGATTTGAAAATATTTGCATGATGCAAAATGGGAATTTGAAAAGTATGTTTGATCTGTTTTTCTTACATTATTGATTTGTTCTACGCAAGTCTGATTCGTCTCTCAGGTTTGAACTGTAATTTAGGTACTGCTTATATTATTTGTAGTAAAATACGAATCAAAATGTTTTTTCATCTCTCAAAACATTCTTGAAAAGAGAAAATTAATGTTTTTAACAATCTTATGTTGAGCGTTGAAAACTTAATATTAAAATGGGTTTAATGCTAGGCCATTATTTGTTCGATCTTATGTTTAGAGTTCTGTAAAAATAAACTATAAACCTTCATGAATCGAAACTTTTGAGAAAGTATTGCGTTTAATTTTCTAGGGTAAAGTCAGGTTTAGAGGGGGGAAGAACAAAGTTGACCGAACTAGGGAAAGAAAAAAAGAGACCTTATCAATTGTTTAAGAAAAAATTAGCTTGAAACAAATCGGGAATCAGGGAAAGTATGTTAACGTTTCGGACTTTTTTTTTAAATGAACGGTGTTAAGTCAGACTGGACTGAGTGATTTTTTAGATTGCGAGAAAAACGAATTTAAAGTTTGCTTAGTTTCTTATGTAATGGCAGTTTTTCCTTGCTGTTTGTATTATTTATCTAATCTGACTAAAATGAAATGTAACTGAGGAATTTCTTGATCAAATACTATCATTATCTAATTTTTTCATAAATTTTGCTACTAGCCCCTACAAACACCGACCACATAACAATCAAATAATCATTTAATTTTATGGAACTTATAAACTTTTAAAGGTTTTGTGATATAGGGGATTTTGAAGATCTAAGACTGTTTTTTTTTTTTTTTTTTGTCCATGTTTTCATCTATTAACGTCTTCAGTACAAATTTCCTTTGAAAACTTAAACGCTAACAACGACCCTGTTCTGGATCTTTGCTAAATTTGCAAGATGCTGGATTGGGGAAAAATATCGAGATCCCGGACCTAAGAAAAAAATAAAGAGCCTGGACTGAGTAAAAGATCCCTAATATAGAATTAATTTCAGATCCTGAACTTAGCAAAAAACATGTGGAACTGAATATACTTTTTAAGACCAGAAAAGATTCAACATTTCTGATTCAAAGTTGTTCTAAATCTCGAACTTAGACTTTGGCACCTTCAAAGATTTTCTTGATCTTTGATATCAGAATTATTTTCAAGATGTAACAACATCTAATTTTTCTCTGTGACCTTGACAAGTATACATGTTAAAATTTTCAAAATTAAGAGGAAATTGTCAGTACTTATAATGATTGTAAAAGTTGTAGGAAATTAAAATACCTTGAGCTATGATTTTTTTTTTAAATTCAATGTTTTAAAATATTCTTATCATCAAAAGGCATGAAATTTTTTTCAAGATTAGGGCTTAGATTTATTTTCTATTCTGCATTAGTCATCTTCAATCTATTATTGGCTGCAATCTTTCCAATCCAATTCCACTTTACAAAATATTGAATTTCATATTAGCACTACGGAGCACTAGAGGCTTAGAGAAGCATGATTTGATGAGGTGACCTTGGCGTAGTGGTTAGCATCCATACCTCTCACGCCAGACAAGTCACGAATGACCCGAGTGCGTTAAAGTGACAATAATAATTAAAAAAAAAATGATTTGCTTATCCTTGTACAGGGTGCGTGACGAATTTTTGCAGTAAATGGCATATTTGAGAAAAAATACACCAGTTAGTTATTCTAGCAATGAATTTTGTGCGATTTATTTTCTAGCAATGAATTTTGTGCGATTTATTTATAAATTCGTCACGCACCCTGTACTATATCATTATTATTAGCTCAACTCTAAACGACTGGCCGGCACCGATGGTGCATTGGTAAGCATGACTGATTTCTCACCCCAATGGGTCTAGGTTCAATCCCAGCCGAAGTCGGTGGGATTTTTCTGAGGCATAAAAATCTCTGGTCACGTCTTCCCTCGGAAGGGAAGTAAAGCCGTTGGTCCCGGTGCAATATCCTACGCAGGTGTGAAAGATGCCTTCCTGCACATTCGATTACCGTCAATGGATGGTAATCGATGTCCGTCGGTGAGTGGCACTTGGTTGCGGAACAATAAAGGAAATAACTCTAAACGATTTACGTATGAATTCATTTCAATTTTATCAACTTTAATACTCTCTCCAGAGACCAATTATTTTCGAAATGAAATCCAGTGTTAAATGTGTTGCAAAATACTAGGTAGCCTGAATTTATTTTCAATTATAAGCACTAAACTATAAATATTTTTGAATGTAAAGTTAAGCAAGAATAAATGTAAATTGAATTAAATGTAAGTGAGAATACAAGTAATAATTTATGGAAAAAAATTTGTAGCAGGCTTTTTTTGGTACCAAAGCATAGGGGCCCCACGGGGGCATAGGGGCCCACAAATGGGCCCTGTATTTGTTTAACCGTGGGCCCCTATGCTTTGATATTCAATCTTTAATCTGAAATGTGAATGCTTATGTGTGATTGTAATAAAACGGGAAACTCCATAGAGTCAATGACGTTATTAGTAGTATGCCATGATTGGCTCAACGAAGTTTACCGTTTTGTCGCACCCACAATTCAGTTTTTAGATCTTACTAATTTCGCGATCCCACTTGCTCAGGTGTACCTTATTTGACTTATGAAATTGTGCAGTGTATTGAGATAGAGGAAGCTACGTGAAATGACCTTAATTTTTCATTTAAATCACCTATTAATTCCTATATTATTTTCAATCTCCGCACTTGAAATACAATTCACAAGCCCTGTAGAGTTCTCCTCAAAATTTTCCTTGAAGTATTTCAAACAAGTCGCCAGAAATGATCCTCAATTTCTCACCACATCCAAGATCTTTTTTTAATGTAGTATCATGAGTTCCAGATTGTCATATCGCTAATGTTGAAAGAACCAGAATCTAAAACAAAAATTGTTCCTGAATATTGTGAATTTTTTTTTTGTCCCAAATGTTGACGCAATCAAGTCTTTATTTAAAAATTATCTCGAGACCTCTGTATTTATATATAAACAATATTTATAATATATATGTTCTATCTATACATTTTTACAATTTGATCAAATGTCCCAAATAGTCCAACAGTATTCGGCCTATTTTATTGATATTGTATCTCAAAAAAGTTTGAAAAAAAAACTAGATATTCGGAAGATTTTGGACTTTAAAACGAATATATCTTATATCTGGGAGTTGAAACATTGGCTACTGTGTACTACTAGAAGCTAATAAAACATTCGACATTTCTAAACTTAAAAAATATTGTTACAGATACTATGTTTACTTTACTACGTCATCTCAGAATACGCTAAAAATTATACCTCAGAATCCAAAACACATAATTAGGTATGTAAGTTAAGAACCCACACAAAAACGCGGCTACGTATTACCTCTTCTACTGCCAAAACTAGAATGAATTTTATTAATGCCATTTATCGGAACAGAAGCCCAATTTTTCAAGACACACAATTTGAATGCAATATTGCTTAAATGCCTTCGTTGCTATCTGGGTATCCACTGTTGAATCGGATTATAAATCGTTGCTGCACTGTTTGTCATTTTCGTCGTTGCGACGACGTTGTTTTTGCTATTGATAATTAACTTGCTGTGCTAACTGTTGATATTATGTGGTTGGTATGCTTTACTAGGACACTGCGATCTTCACTTGAATAATGGTTCTAATAATATTTAATCTTATAAACTTAATTCGCCATTTCCACTCAATTTAGTTTGTATAAGCAATCGCAGTTAAACCCGAATAGAAATGATATTACCACTAGCAGTTGCTTTGTGTACACATAAATTAAAAAAAAAAAATTTCTATGAACTATCAGCCAAGCTCAGAATTTAAACAATTTATAAATATGTGTATTTTCTTATAACATTCCGCTATGCCTTTGAATATTATTTGTTTTAATGAGCTATAACACCAGAAAACTTTTAAATACTCCCTAAATTATTTCTTTACAGGATTTGCTGAAATTTGCCATGAAAACGCGCATATCAAGGGATATGCTAGCAACATTTTTACTGCTTTGCCTGGCAGTAAACTTTGCTGCCGGGCGAATAGCATTTGAAAAATTAACGGATTTTGATTTCCAAGGCACGACCTACTATAGTGTGAAAAATCTTTCACTCTACGAGTGCCAAGGATGGTGCCGCGAGGAGCCGGATTGTCAAGCAGCCGCTTTTAGGTACGTACAAAAATCAAATGCATTTAAGGTGCAATGTCCAAAAATGTAAGCCCAGTTTTTTTCGACGCAACATTTTATCATTGCAAATTATTCTCGTCAATACATACCTTCTGCCATTTTGCTTAAAATGACGCGAGCTCTTTGCAATGATGAAATTAATTTTTCGAAAAAGCATCAAAGTAAATTGAACCCTAAAAACACAATGAAAACAATATGGGGATCATCTCTAGAGTAAGTTTGTGTGTGTTATGGTTCAAATTGAACCTATTGATAAAAGTTCTTCTTTTTCTTGCCCTTTCACGAGCTTCCGCCTGCTCTCAACTTAGTGTTCATTGAAGCAATTCCACAGTTATTAAGGGCTTTTCTATGCCAACCAATGCATGAATTGGTATATTGTGTGACAAGTAAAATACTACTCTATGTTCAGGGAAGTCGAGAAAGGCACAACTCAAGTTTAAAGATGCTCCGTAACGTAGGTAGATCACCTTTTCGTGGTACTTTACGGATCTATGGATGTACCACCGATTCCTAGTCCTGACTACTTTAAACTAGGGGAACAGGATTTGTCAGTAATCAAAGGAACACATCTTAGTCCTTGTTACTTTTATGCCTTGTTGATAGTGGCTTTGTCCACTGGATGATCTTGAAACAAGGGAAAAATGAGTTAGTTTCGCTATTCGCTGTTCCCTTGGTTGAAGTGGTTAAGACTAAGATTCTGATGCATGGTCATTATCGGTGTCACTCCTTAATTTTGTTGCAAAGGAATTCAATTTTGACTGACAAAGGGGCGTGCCTTTTGAGGGTCTTTCAATACTCCGAAGGGTATAAATAGCGGATCCTTTCAATAAGGGTCGGATTAAAGAATTACAACAGTAAAAAAAATCGAATACTTCATCAATACTTATTCAAGGTTTACAACTTATACCATACCGGTGTAAAAGTTCGAATCAGCAATGGGCTCGGCAATGGGGCAAAAGTTCGCAAACTTAATGGCAGTTTTTGAGAAGTGTTGCCACTTTAATAGCGGTAAGCTCCATGGAGGATAATACGCGAGTTTATCCAGATTTTAATCCTTGATTTGGTAAGCACCACGTAGCCATTTGCTTTTGTAGCGAACAGTGTTTATGAGTGTGAGTGTAATCGGTCTCGCCACCGCAACAAAATTTCTTGTGTCACTTTTCAATAGATCCTATCTACATTCATCGACTTAAATAAAAAAAAATTAGATCTTCTGAGAAATTTCGAAATATTCTAAGGGTTTCCGGGAACTTCCGAGAAGTTCCAAAAATTCCTGACAAGATCCAATATGTTCCGAGAAACTCTGAGAAGTTCTGAGAACTTCAGCGATGTTCTGAGAAGGTCTGAAATCTTTCGATGATGATGATGATGATGGTCCCACCTCTTACCCCTACAAAGGTTTGAGCTGGACGATTTATCTTTAAGATAATTAAATATGATATTTAAACCAGGTTAGTAAACAAAATCGAACTGGTTATATCAATTCCCTCTAGAGTTTACAGTTGCTTCACAGCGATGTAAATGAGGAAAAGCTCAGGCGTCCTTCTCTTACCCTAGCAGCACACATGTCACTGAACAATTGTGGTTACTTGTGTGCCACTTATTCCAGTCACAAACAAGTTGCAGCAGCTTATTGTCCACCAAAAATATTCATAAGTATTACAAGCAATCAAGAGTTAATGAACAATCAACAAAGCATCCTATTACTCTAGCAACCCCGCAATCTGATGCTATCATAATTTTCAGCAATGTCAGGAATGCTCATGAACCCCCAACATTTGCCAGAAAACTTACTACTAACTCAAGTAAGCTTCAAAATTGCATTTTTTATCAAATTTTAAATTCAGTCCTCTATATCCGTAATACGCGCGCGAGGCCTTTGTAGACTACTTTTTTATTATTAATCTACTACTATTAAATCAAATATAAAACATCCAGCATCACCATCGTGGCGAACAAAAATAGTTTTTGCAGTGCTACAATAATTATTAAAAAGTCCTTATGACAGTATTATCCATATAAAATAATCCGTTAGAGATAACTTCGTCAAGATACATAATTTGTCAATTCATAAAAAAATCACTGGATAACTGTTCAAAAGACAGTTTTAACGTGCGAAATGCAGTGTCTTTTAAATTCTGTAAGTGTTGCTGAACGTTTGATATGTCTAGGCATCGAATTGTGAAGCACAAGTCAAGAAATGTGGTGTTCTTATTATATCTATGAAAGTCACTTCCTCTTTCAATTCGATCACACAAATATCGAGGCAGCAAACCGTTAACTACTTTAAAAATGAACACCATAGTCAAATATACAATTCTTTGCTTCACCGACAACCATTGTAAGGCGTCTAGTATCAAAGTTGAGGAAGTGAATAATTCGGCACATCTAAACATCAAACCCATTATTTTATTCTGCAAGCGCTGTAATCTTGATATTTGTGTTGCATTAGTCAAAAATAAAATGGAAGGCCAAAAGTCTAGATGAGGAGAGATGATTGATTTGTATAGCTGTATTTTACTGGCAATAGTTAAATCGTTTTTCAGTCGACATAGAATTCCATACTTCTTGGCAATTTTCTTGATGACATTGTCAATGTGAGAATTGAACTTAAGTTTCTCATCAATAATCACGCCAAGATATTTAATCTCCCGAACACGATCAATAGTCTCATCATCAATTACAAAAGAAACGTTCTCATTTACTCGATTCCGCGAGAATACTATAAATGAAGTTTTACTTGTATTCTATTTCAACTGCTTATACTTCAACCATCTTATTTAGAGAACGTAAATCTTCATTCAAGTGTAAAACGACATCATCTAAATCCTTAGCTGCAATGAATAACACAGTATAATCTGCAAAAAGATTAATTTCTCAAAATCGTAAAACACGTCGCAAGTCATTAATATACATAATAAATAACAGGGGCCCTAATACACTTCCCTGGGGTACTCCAAGGTTATTCCCCACGGGACTGGAAACGGAATCATTAAAAACAGTCCGTTGAATTCTGTCAGACAAATAGCTTTCAAACCATTTATATGCAGTAAGCGCTTGATTGATCTTAACAATAAGGGCCTAGAAATTGATTCAAATGCGCGTTTAAGATCCAAAAAACAGAAACAATCGTATCTTTACACTCCAAGTTATTTTTCCACTACGCAAATACCAAATTCAGTGCGGCTTCACAAGAATGACCTTCCCGATATCCCGATTGTTCTGGTATCAACAAACTATTACTATTTAAATACTCCAACAGCTGGCCTTTAACAACAAGTTCTAAAATTTTCCCAAAAGGTGTGCAACATGTTGATGGGACGAAACTCTTCGGCTTTAATCGTTCCAGCAACTTTTTGAATAGGGACCACTAAGGATTCCTTCCAAATTTGTGGCACATGTTCAGTTTGCAATGATTCATTAATAACTCTAAGTTCATCTAATGTAATTGGGTGAAAACCTTCAAATCTACAACTATTATTAACTGGCTGTTTTATTTCGTCAGGTTCATCGACCAATTCAATGGATTGATTAATCAATGAAACACTGTCGACAATTACTTGTTCTGACTGTTCTAATGTGCCATTAAAAGTTATGGACCGCGGTTTGCAATTACTAGGTTCTTTTCCATTACGTTATTACGCGCAATTGTGTACCTACTTCAATGATTGTCAATATTTGATCTACAAAACTTTTTGTACCAAAAGATCAAAATTGTACCAGCCGTTCGAGTTTTTCAAAGCAACAAACTTTTGCTCAACTAGTTGATTAGTACACGTTTTCAAAGCGTTATTAAGAACAGCTGTAGATTCATCTAAGTTACCGGCAACGAATGGAAAATCCACGCTCCTCTCAACAAGATTCGAAACAGCTTGCTTCGAATATTTCCTCCAGCACTTCAATTTTACAAAATTATCATTATCGTTAACATTGTCTAAGACATTAATCACTAAGGTCTCATGATCGGTTATTTTCAAATCAGTATCCGTAACTGAACAAATGGAATCAAAATTGGAATAAACGTGGTCAATTAAAGTTCTACTGTACCTGAAAATACGTGTATACTTATTTACCGTTTGCTTTAAATAGAAAAACTCAGCTAAACGCTTCAAATGATTCGAATTATGTTTATCACGCCAATTAATATTAAAATCACCAGCCAATATATTTAATTTACTAGAATCAAAGAATCTCTCGAGCCAGTTCTCTAAAACTTCGACAAAACGCTGGTCACTAGAACTGGGAGAATGATACAAAACACCATAATTACCCATCTTCATGCCACGTATAACTGAAATGCCCAAGAACCAGTTGCCATCAATAACTTCGTTCGTACGAAGGTTGAATTGAACTGATTCTTTGACCGCAAGTGTGTCTAGAATGGATAAACAAGCAGCAACAATATAACCCGGAATACTATACTGATCAAAAGCTTCAGTTTCTACCATATGAGTTTCAGATAATAAAACTAAAAAAGGACGTTTTTCCTCAACAATTTGACGTAATGCTACGTAGTTTGATGACAACCCCACAATATTAAGATATAAAAAATTGAATTGATTAACATTTCTGGAACTTGGCTGCTATTATTGATACGCAAGCTGCTTTTCTTCTGATCAAAATTTCTTTTATAGAGCAAACATTCAAAGCTAAATGAGGCATGGTTGACGTCCAAGTTCATTTTACGTTCTTTATTCATTTTCAAACAATTAATACATTTCAATACAGTTGACGTACACTCCGACGATGTTGTTGGCTGCACGTAGCGCATCTATCACAATTTTTGCAATCCATGCTCTTGTGCCCAAATTCTCCACATTTGAAGCATCTCAACACATTAATCGCGGGAACTATCGAGCAACGATCAAACCCTACGTTTACTTTTTTCGCACAAAACAAACATTTATACTTATCGACATCGACTTCAATTACAACACTAATCTTGAAGTGGGAACAACAGCACTATATTTTCCACTCAGATT